TTGTGAAACAAGAAACAAAATTGCTGTAAGTTTTCTAAACGGCACAGTTTGCTAATTTCGCTCTCACATTAAGTGGTTGCTCAAAACTTATCAGTGTGCCGTTTCCAAGGTGTAAGCGGTCAGTGATTGTGGGAATTGCACGCGGAATTTCGACTTTATAAGAAAAACCCACTGGGCGATAGCTTCATTGGCGCACTGCACTGCGTACTGCTGCATTTCGGCATCCATACCAGTTGCCATAATCTCGGCATTATCAACCTGCGAACCAGCGGTCTGCTCGGGATCGTCAACTGATTGAGGATCTTCCGCCATCGTTTTGCTCAAAATTTCCTACATCTCTACAGTGCAAGCAGCACTCGTCAATTCGTCAGCCGAGTCGAACGGCTATGTGTATGCATTTTTACATAAAACAAGAACAATACAGGGTACGGTAACACTGGTATCCGCCTCCATCTGTGCATGTATGTATTCACAGCACAAGGACTGAAACACAATTTGATAAACAGGCTGGACGCTAGTCCACACAAGGGCACAGAATATCCTTGTGAAGTTTCAGCTTGTTATGTTGTCTGGTTCCCGAAATCGATTTCCCGCCACAAAATTTTGCATAAATTTTTAAGGGGTTCGTACGTGAGACGCGGGCGTCGGAGAATGATGATTTCTGAGATCATTTTGGTTGGAGTGTGAAAAGTTTTGCTGGATGCCCGGCCTCTACTAGGGTCTTTTTTCAAATCGAAGCTAGCAATTTCAGTTGCTGATTGATCTGGCAAAAGTTCTAATACGCGTAAAAGATCTACAAGAAGGTTGCCCTCGTGTGCTGCTCGGATAAAACTTATGAGGTGAAGTAAGGACAAAAGAGCAAGTGGTGCATGCGATCGTTTATTGAAGCATGAGGAGGGCGGATAAAAAGAGATGTGCGACTATCCTGGAAAGCAAATCAATGTTTCAAAAAAAAACAAAAATTGATGAGCCCCACTGGCACAAGGAAAAGGAGCCAGGCGCTGCACACTGGCGCTTCCGCTCCTGCACTACCACACTTCCACATCCCTGAGCTTCTTCCCAGTAAACAGGGCAAGTTCAGCTCTATTGCTCTTGGCAATTTCACCACATTCAAAACAACAGAGCTGCCTCTGGGTACTGCAAGTGGTGTGTGTGCGCCTGTGTGTGTGTGTGTATATGCAAGCATGCTTATGTATTCGTGATGTATGTTTGGGCGCACATGTGCATCCAGACATGTCTGT